GCGGCGTGTGCCGAGAGCGCCTGCGGCCCGAGCGGGAGCCGCGCCTGCTGCCCTGCTTACACTCAGCCTGCAGCTCCTGTCTAGGGCCCCCAGCGCCCGCAGCCGCCAACAGCTCCGGTGATGGCGGCGCGGCGGGCGACGGCTCGGGTGAGTGCTCGGAGGGCCGTGCTGGGGGCGCCGGAAGCTGGCCTGGGGGGAGGGGTGGGCGGGGCTGGGCCTGCGCAGGGGTGTTGCGGAGGAGGAAGGGCTGGGACCCTGGGCCGGTGGGCTGCGCTGCTGAGGCGTTCGCATCTCCCTTGCAGTCATGGTGGACTGTCCTGTGTGCAAGCAGCAGTGCTTCTTGAAAGACATCGTGGAGAATTACTTCATGCGTGACAGTGGCGGCAAGGCTGTTACCGATGCCCAGGATGCCAATCAGGTGTGCGTCTAGACCTTGTCATTCTTGCTGGCTCCTGGAGGGGAGAGGGCGGGGGTATCACCAGACCCAGGGGAGTAGCTTGCCCCAGAACCAGGCCTTTTCCACCCCTGTCCCCTACGCCTAGAGAAGGGAAGCACCTTTTTCAGAAGTGGGGCCTGGGGCGGCCCCGCCCCTCTGAGCCTGGCCCTTGCCTCACAGTGCTGTACCAGTTGTGAGGATAACGCGCCGGCCACCAGCTACTGCGTGGAATGCTCAGAGCCCCTGTGTGAGACCTGCGTGGAGGCACACCAGCGAGTGAAGTACACCAAGGACCACACTGTGCGCTCTACAGGTACGGGGCCCTGGAGGGGAGGTGCCCCTGCTTGATGGGCTCTAAGGGCATGATTCTGGTGTTCAGTTTTCACAGGTCCTGGAAGGGCGGGAAGGGAAAAGGCTTGGAGAGGACCACAGTCTCTGGGGTTGTAGGCAGAGAGGAGGGAAAACTGGGAGTCAAGCAGAGAAACTCCTTAGGGCAGAGGTGATTCATTGATGAAATAGGGCCATCCCAGTAGGAATGGCTTGCACAGGTGTGCAAAGCATGAGTGCAATGGGTTTCTGTTTGGAATCTCCTTGAAGCCAGAGCTCCAAGCTGGGACCCCTGGTTGAAATACGGGCTCTCAACAGTCAGTGACAGTGGGTCCTAGAGGCACTGGGGCTGCCTGATTTACGTGTTCTTGAACGAGGTATTTCTGGGAGTATTTGTGCATGTGTGGAAAGGGGCTTGGGACCTATTTTTGTTGGTGCTTATCCGAGAATTCCCAGTGAGAGGCTTTCAGGTGGTATGGTGCTGTTCATATAACCTAGGGAAATTCTATCAGGGAAGAGCACGATGGAAGTGGCGGGGGGTTGGTGAGGACAGGGTTCCTTCCAGAGGGTGCTGGGCTTGGCGATGTGCTGGGTCTGATGGGCATTGGTGGAAGAAGAGAAGGCACTGGGATGGGTTCATTTGGGTGCTTGGGTGTCTGCTATGGGCCCTGGGAGTTTCCCAGAGAGTCTTGATGCTGTGAGACAGCTCACTGTCCTGGTAGGCGGCTGCTAGTGTTCCTGTTCCTTTGGGCCATGGGATTGTAAGTGGCTTTATAACACCTAAGATAGGATGGTTGACCGTGTTGGTCTTGGAAATTGCCACAGTGAGCTTGGTGGTTTTTAGACCCCCTGGTTGCTTGTCCTGCACATGGAGTGGCTAGAAGCTTGTCTAGTGGAGGGACTTGTGGATTCTGGGGGAGCTGGCCTTGAGCGAGGTCACACACCCCCCCCCACCCCCCATTGGCATGGGTTT